ACCACTGAGCTATATCCCTGGTCTTGTTTATGTATTGGATAGAATTCTTTGTTACTGGAATTTTGGGTTGGTATTAACTTTCATGGAGTCTAATTCTTTTCAAAATCTGTCTTTCATATTTTGAATTGCTTTAGTCAATTCTTCTAATTTTTGTTGTTGTTGTCTCTTCAATAATTATATCAGTCAATTTGTTTATTAGTTCGCTGTCTTTTGGGTTATGACATCTTTGAACTCACTGAGTTACTTTGGTTTCTTTTAAATCATTTCATGCAGCTGAGCTTTTCTGTGTTTCATTTCCTCTCCACTGGTGCCTGCAGACCTGCTTTTGGAAAGTTAGGAGTCTCTGGGGGCAGTCTGTAGCCTTGTACTCTCATGTTCCTTTTTGGTCTTGGTATGTGTGTGTGTGCTGAGTGTTAAGGTCAAAAAGAGTGCAGACAATTTTTTTGTTGGCATAAAGATCTCTTTAGTTAGGTTCTCTTTTCCAGTAAGGTGATCTTAGCTTTGTTTGTGAAAAGGAATTGTCTACACTACAGTTTGTTTAACTTACTTGAGTTATGACTAGTCCTTGTGTTGTAAGGAAGAATTTCTACTGATTATAACAGCATTGACATATCATAAACACTAAAACTTGCTTTGATACTTTAGCATTCTCAACTGTAACAGCTGTTTTGATAATTTTGTCCATTTATCAATACATCTTACAGATTATATTATACTAGGATTTGGAGGATGAGAGGAAGGAAAAAAGGGGGAAAAGGAAGGTTACAACATTGGGAAGATAAGAAGGTAAGAGAAGTATCAATAGGTAAATACATTTAGGTAAAATATATAGGTAAATTATATTTATAATTTGGATATAAGGCTGGTATTGAAGAGATCTGTGAGAACATTGGTACAGATGGGAAGAGGTATGAGGATTGACAGAGTGTATTTGGAGATTGAGGGAGGCTGTGAGATTGTTGAAATCTATTAAAATATTTGTAGTTAGTTTTGTCTGGATCTTATAAGTGCAATTTTGTTAAGGATCACTCTGACATGTCCTTGAATGGCATTGCTTAACTTGTATTACTAGTTAATTTTTATTCTCTTGTGACCTCTATCCTATGGGGAGGAAACACTTAAGACCCTGGGAAGAGGAGGGAGTTAGGCGCCAATCAATCAACTGCTTTCCCTACAGAGACATGCAGCTGAGTCCCTGAAATAAAATGCTTTTGTTAGGGTCTCCCAAGCTGCAGCCACTGCGAATAACACAAACCCCTGAATGTGCCACCACGGACCTTTCTGTGTCACAGGGCAGAGCAAATTTTTCATCCTACACCAGCATTCCCAATGCCAATGCCCACCATCCAAACCTGATGGCGGCCTTATCAAGTGAGGATCTGGCACGGAGAAAATCCAGATGTGCTTTCCTTCTACTTAGCTGACTGCAGCAAGAGTTCACAATCACAACTAACACAATCTTGGTGGGCTGGTGTTTGCCAATATTTATTTGCTCAGTTGTTTAGGCCAAAAGTCATCCTAAATGTCTCTTTTTTCTTAATCCAAATGCTTTCCTTATATAAGTCTGATCAACTTTTTCCCAAACTTTACTTACAATATGATCTCTTTCCACTAATCTCTCTATTCTCTGACTCCTGCAATAGCCCTTGGTGTCCTTGGCTCCACCCTTAACTCGGATGTTCAGCTTGAGCTACATGTGAATTCTCTATATAAATCACATCATGTTTCTCTCTTAATAAAAACTTTTCCTACTGAATGTCTTACCCGGCACACTGGGAGTCTGCTACTCCAAAATCCCAGGGCTTGTTCCCATACTGCACCTTTTCAAATCTTACAGCTTTTATGTCAAATGCTCTTCTTCTGGATGTTTGCGAGCTCTCTGTCATCCTTTAAGACTTGACTTCCTCAGTATTCTCCCTAATAGTACTACTTAAAGAAACATCTCAAGCATTTTCCATACCATTATTTGAATCTTATCTTCTAAATAGGACTTAGAATTACTTTACTGACCTGTTTCCTATGAATTCCCCCCAATTCTCATCACCACCTCCCTCAACATACATTAGCATATAAGTTCTTTAGGGATAATAACTCAGTTTTATTCACATGATACTGGAGGCTAACACGGTGAATAAGCTAAAATCCAAAAGTTATGTACAGAATTTCAGAAGGTAAAATAGGAAGGAGGAGCATCCTAGAACAAAAAAGACACCACGTATAAAGGTTCTGCATCAAAAAGAATTGTGAAACCAAGCATGATGGTGAAACCTACAACCCCAGTCACTTGAGAGGCTGAAGCAGGAGGACTTCAAATTCAAAGGCCAGTCTGAGCAAGTCAGCAAAGTCTGTATGAAAGCAAAATTTAAAGAGCCTGGGTGTAGTCAGTGGTAGAGTGCCTGCCTGGCATATATGAGGCCCTGAGTTCAAACTCTAGTATTGAAGCAGGGGGAAGTACAGGAAGTCCCTATAGCGGGGCTGGGGAGATGGCTCAGTGGAATAAGCACTTCCCTGGCAAGCACAAGGGCCTGAGTTCAATCACTAGTTCCAAAAAAAGAAAAAGAAAGAAACTGATTTTTATTAGCTTTTAAGCGCTTGCCTAGCAAACGCAAAGGCCTGAGTTCAATCCCCGGTTCCACAAAAAATAAAAAATTAAAAAAAAAATGGGGGCCGGGAGATGTCTCAGTAGAATAAGTGCTTGCCTAGGAAGTCCCTAAAGCCACAATCACAGATGAGATCATAAACAGAAACGACACCGGATGGGTAGGACAGAAAACACAGGACCAAGGCCTGAGGAACTGAGAAGGGTAGTTAGGGCAGTGGAACATGAAGCTGTGAAGACTGGAGACCCAAGAGCTACAGAGGTAAGAATAAAACCAAAAAAGGGGAGTCTCCCCTGAGAAGAGAATCTGGCTTGAGATCTTACCTAAAAAGGCACTTTTCTATTCAGGAAAAAGTAGCATAACAGTATTTTCCTTCGGTGACTCCACAATAGCTGGTAGCTTTTGGGTGTGATGTTAACTACAGGTCCTGTCTGGCCAAGACAAAGGGCAATCGATAGTACTGGCAAGAGACTGAAGAGTTCAAGTTAGTGTGATGCTAGTGCAGAAATAGATGGCCTGGCCAGTGGGGTGGAGTCTACAGCTCTGACAGCCTCACCATAATGACAGATGGCAGATTAAAATAGCAGGGAAAGAAGAGCTATTCAATAAATAGAAATGGAAGCATGATTACTCATAAGAAAAATTCAGTCTAATATCTCTACATTATTCAATAGTCCTAGGTGGAATAAGGACTTAACTGTCTTTTTAAAAAATTTACAGGGCTGGGGAGATAGCTCAGTAGTATAAGGTCATGAGTTCAATCCCCTATACTGTACTGCAAAAAAATTACAATCTTAAGTAGAAAATTATGGGTGACTATTTTTCTGGTCTTGGGGTAATCAAGATATTTCTTTTGAAAGACTTTGGTATGCCTGTCTAAATTAAAATTGAGAGCCTTTGTTTATAAATAAACATGTAAAAGAAATTGAAGGATTACAAACTTTCAGAAGATACTAGCAATATAGAAATCAAAAATGAAGAATCAACATCAAGAAAACAGAAATAATTTAGCATTGAAAAAAGCATAATGAATCATTGAAAAGTACACAAATAGCATGAAGTTGTAATTCATAAAAGAGGAAGTGGATGTGTTCAGAATGGAAGAAAAGATTTAACCTCAAAGATGCATAGAGCACGACTACCATGTAATGTTTCATACCAATTCAATTGGTAAAAATTAAGAGAGTGACAACAGAGGGAATATGTCAATCTCAGGGTGGGAGTGTACTTATGATAATCACTTTTGGAAAACACTTGGGAAATAACTTGATGTGATTTCATATGGTGAACATATCTATTCTACGTCTGTAGCAATTGCACTTTCAGTTATGTACTCAAGGAGAAAAACCAGTTATTACATGTCTACTTAACACATGTACAAACGGCTCATATTAATTTAAAGCTATGGGCCAGCCAAGTAACTCAGCAGATTAAAGCGCTTGTTTAGTCAGACATAGAGGCCAGGAGTTTGATCCCCCACCCACAACCTTGCCATGCTGGCCCCGCCCCGCGCCCCAGGGTGCGCTGAGACAGCAACTGAGGCTGGGCGTGGTGGCTCGTGCCTGTAATCCCAGCTTTTGGGAGGCTGAACACAGGTGGATCACTATGAGTCCAATCTAGGTAGTGAGACCCCGTAGGCCCTGTAGACCCTTACCAAAATACAAACACTACTACTACTAATAAATAACAATTTAGAGGTATACTCTAAAGCAAAATCCGTGATACAACTTTGTGTCCACTGAAAGAGATGAATGAAAGCAAGATATGGTGGCACACGCCTGTGGCCCCAGCACGTGGGAGGCTGAGGAAGGAGGAGCTCCATGAGCTCCAGCCCACTCTGAACTACATAAAATAAAAGCCCAACAAACTAAAAAAAAGAGAAAGAGCTGGATGAATAAAATAGTGCACATTTGCACTCTGTGCGGCATAGTACCACAGACTGCAGCAGCGCTCAAGAATGCAAGCAAATCCTAGCAGATCAAAAACACAGAAAGTAATTCCTAGATTCTTACAGTTTCCTGTTATTTTGATGCATTAAAACTAAACAGAATAAAACATCTTTAAAAATTATGTAAGAAACAAGAAAGCGCACGTACACACCTACCCACAACTTAAAGTAATTATCTTGATGCAGGGGTGGAGGGCGCTTCAAGGTAGAACAGGAAATTAGTGTCTGTCAGAGTCCTGGTTTCAAAGTTGCTCAGTGCACTGATGCTTAAGATTTTGAAATAAACAAATAACAGGGAATGTGTATACCCCAGAAGACCCACGGCATAAATGTACACTTCACACAGCCTGTGAAAGAGGCCAAAACCCTCAGCACCGCCATTTGGTCGCACCATGCTGGAGGGTGCCAAAGGGACACCACTGGCCAGAGTGAGCTCTCAGCTCTAATCTCACCTCGATCAGTCAGATCAAAAACACTTCTGACAGTTCTCTTCCTTAAGTAATTTTCAGCTGTGAGCGTGAAGTTGTATGTCTTTGGAAAATCTTCAGAAATTTCCCAATCACACCAGTTTTTCTGTCCACAAAATTTCTTTTTCCCAGAAATTCTTAAAAACAAAATGACAATTTCAGGGTTGATACTATTGTCAAAGCACACATATCATTGTCTCTTCGGCATACTGGGTGACCCTCAAACTACTTTCCATATAATGACACTGATCCAGTTCCAACAAATACTAGCAGTGAAATTCATTTCAGTGAATTTGTCATACATGATTAAAAGTGATAACAATGAATTCATGATTCTCCCTCATGAGTGGTCAGAACATCGATTGACTGACTTTGATCATTCTTTAAATGGCAAAAAAGTCAGGTAAAGCCCGATGACCAGATAGGACTCTTCCATATGTAACAGATGTACCATTAACTCTAACTTTTGTCATACATACTTGAAAAAGAAAAAACCTGAGGTAGAAAGTAACACGTCATCACTTTAGATCTTCATCCAAATGTGGTGGCAAGGTTAGAAATATTTGCATAACTTTTTTCCAGTAACTACATGTAGCTTTATGTTGTCACAAGCATCATAAACAAAGAAAAAGGAAAACTCTGTCAATAATTTTACCAGAGCTAACTTACGATTCAAATAAAGTGTAGTGCTGCGAAGGCTGTTTATTGTATCCCAAGGCAGTGTCTACCCCAGGATCCCAGGTGCACTTCAGAGTCTTGTAGTCTTGGGTTTGACATGAAAAATTCTTGGGCTCTTCCAGTACTTCTGCCCATGTGAAGAAAACAAAAAAAGCAGAGATAAGGCCCATCAAGCCTTTTTATTGAGAGACAAGTCAGAAAGAAAGCTCTGTTTGGGTCTGAAGCCATGGAGGCACACTGACCAGTGAAGGGACCTATGGGTTGAAGTTCCCCACCCCCAGTCAACAGCACCAGACGGTTCTGTTTCTTTTTCTTTTTTTTTTTTTTGTGGTACCAGGGATCAAACTCAGGACCTTGCGTTTGCCAGGCAAGCATTTATTCCACTGAGCTATCTCCCCAGCCCCAAGATGGTTCTATTTCAAGTATCGTATCACCTTCACCCCTTCTCTTTCCTGATTCTCTTGCAGCTTCTGGAATACCATGGGTGGGCTAGGTAGTCACTGTTGTATACGTGGCTGGCACTGTGTCCCGTTGACATAGGAGATGCTCAAAGTGCCTGGTGCTATTCCATTTTGCATGCTGTGGCTTGAAGAAAACCCACAGAATGCCAGAAAGTCACACTTTATGAACTGGCCATACTCAATAGCTGGCAGTCCATGATCCAAAGGCAGTAAAATGCCCTATGACATGAAGTTATCGCTGCTCCCCGAGCCACAGTACAGGGACTACAGATGGACTAAGCATCCAGGAGGCTGGCATTACAGTACTTCTTTGGAAGAGAAGTAGGGAGGCCGCTGTCACAGATAGCTACTGCCTAAGGAAACAGGAATTTCCCACCGTCTAGGGGAATTGCCCTGTTTTCTAGGGGTATACAAATCTCAAGGAAAAACCATTAGGTCGCCAGTAGGCACAAAGAAACCGATGGGAAAATTAATGTGTTCCCACTGCACTGACACAGCTCGAAGAACCAATATTCCAGGCAGTTAAAGGTCACCACTGACGACCGCCACTTGGTGACTTCTATTCCACTCATTGAGCACACTGAGGACAGGCAGCCTCCTTGTTCACTAATGCCCACAGCCACCATCATCGTCCCACTGCACAAGGGTGGAAACCAGCTCTGACAGGCCAGGAAACATGGCCAAGACGACAGCCACAGCTAAGGGAAGATGTGAATGGAGGGCTTCCAGTCCAGCAGCCCGGCTGCTCCTCTGTGACCAGGTGACCTGCAGCCCTCATCCTCCCTGCATGACCTTGAGGTAGTGCCAGCACAGTGCAGGCAAAGGGAAATATTTTCTCAGTGGCCCAGGACTTGATCTGAACTTTCTCTCCTTTACTATTGCTTCTTTCTTGCAATGAAATTGTCCAGTAAGGTCAAGAAAACAACAGGAAATCCTGGAATATTGCTTCAGGAAATCATTGTGAGATTTCCTAGAAGATATGGGAATGGGGCAAACAAATGCATGCATAGCAATGGTTTCTCTGTATTCCACAGGTAATGAGAGGAGTAGGCAGAACATTTGTGCACTCACTTGACACGAAGAGAACAGCACCATCGATCCTGTTATTCTCCCAACAGGCAATAGTTATCCCGTATATGTTAATGAAGGGAACATTAGTCAATTGGAATGTGTATAAATTTGAATCAAGTTGTTCTCTGTGAATCAGTTCATCTCCTAAGTAACAGGAAATGTTATGATTTGTCTCAGAATTGTAGCAAAATGTGACATTGGCGCCTTCTTCCACCAGCTTACTTCTAGGGAATATCAGCCATTGACTGTCTCCAGGAGTCGGGGCTTCAAGGCAAAAACAAAACCTTGGTTAGAATCGCACTCAGAATTCAGGGCAACCCCCTCCTGCTTCTGCCTCAACAGATGACTGGCTTTACCTACCTCATGGAGAAAGCAGTAGGTGGAGTTTCTGTGCTGGACCTACACCCTTTGGTGTGTCCTTCCCAACTCAGTTGCTATTGTCAGAAGAATCCCCCTGCAGTGGCTGTTACTGCCAGAGACAGCACATTTACCAGAATCACTGTGGATGATCACACTGTCTAGTGTCCAGGCCACGTGGAGGTCGTGTGTCAGGTGGCTGTGTACACTGTCTCATGTCTGTCCTTACAACGGCACAGGCAGATACTCAACACCTGCATGCTCAGCTAGTCAGTGGCCAAGTTGCATTTGGGTCTGCGAGGTCTACCAAGCTCCCAAGGCGCATGGCCCTCACCACCTCTCCACTGTTTTGTCAATCTCATCTCTTTCTGCCTTCTAGCAATGCCTTCCAGCCTCACCAATGCCATCTTCTTTTATTGATGTTTCTCCTGTACAGCTCTCTGGCACTTCAAACTGCATAGGGTCTCCCTGTTAAAGAAACTGATCATCTTCCCCTCATCCCCTTCCTGCCGCCTTCTCCAGCCTTGCCTGCTACTCTGCCTCCCTGAAGGAGTTGCTTGTGCTTGGTGCTCTGAGTCATCCACCTACTCAGCCACCCCCGTCATTGAACTGGCCACTGCCAAACACCATCATTACTGACCTTACCTGCTTTTAGCCTCCTTTTTAAGGTCTCTGATGATGCAGTTATGCAATTTTAGGTGAGAATCTGTGCTTTGGGGATGATGTTATTCTTTATATCTACAGTGAGCTCCACACCCTTAAGCATGTAGAAGGTGAGTGGACTATAGGGCCCTCAGAGCTGACTGGCTCTGTAGAGATGGGGTCACGTGCGTGTGACCTGGAGGGGTCTATCTCCTTCCTGGATCCTCCCTTCACTTTCTACCTCTGGCCTGCTGGGGCCTGAGCTGTTCTCCACTGTCAGACCCTTCCCTCATGTGGCTTCTGCACAGAGCCCGCTGACTGTGCAAGGCTTGAAACTCTTAGACATGAGCCAAAATCAGCCTCTCCTTCCTGAACTGTGAGCGTTAGGTATTTTGTCCAAGCAACAAGGGAGGTGACTAAGAGAGGTTAGGAACAGTCAGGTTTGTAATTTTAGTACACAACTTTACAAACAGGACAGGTGTTCCTGAGGGGCCAGAAGAAACCCACGGCCCCAGAAGAAGCACTCTTGAGATACGAAGACCACTGCCCAAGCCCCTTTACCATGTCTTACTCTATGAAGACACCAGTCTTCCACTGTCACGGTGTAGCTCCTCTCTTGAAAACTTGCCCTCTCTCCTGCTAAGCAGAGTATTCCAATCTGAATCAACTGTTGCCTTTCCTATGCCCCCTCACTGCTGGAAAATTCCCTTAGTGGCCTCATCACTGGCCCTGCATATGCTGTCTGGCAGGGCAATTATATAAGGCTTATGGCCTGCCTCGGTCACTGTGCATTGTGTAATAAACACCCTGCACATTTGGAAAAGGAATACAGAACTGTCTGAACTGCAGAATGATCTCAATAGTTAAGTTCAAAGGGAAGCCTCAGACATCCACCTCCATGGGGCAAAGTTTACAGCCATGTGTTTCTAGTTCCAGCATGAGAAGAAGCAAAATAATGCAAGCTGTCCACGTAGGGTTCCAGAGAGGGAATCTCTGCAATCAACTGATCCCTGGGTAATAATAAGAATCAAACCTGCTCCTTCTAGTAACTGCTTCATTTCTTACCAGGAACTTCCTCCCAGGAACTCCAGTTGCTCACAAAATTCAGCTGGGGAAACCTGGCATCGTTCGCTATACTCTTTATTCTTACAAAGTGTGTCGCACATTCCAAAGGGAGCTCGGATTCCCAGGACCAGTGCAGAACCTGATTCTTCTTCACGGTGGTGCTGTAATTACCCTAAAAGTAAAGAAAATATGTGGGACTATGCAGCCATCCTGTGCTGGAAACTGGCTCAGCCAGAATTACCTCCAACCACAATCTTAAACCCACTGCACTCCGTACACGTGAAGTCCATTCTGACCAATCAGTTTCCCTTGCTCTGTTATCCAAGCAGTTGGGCAGCAAGGCCTCTTGCTTCTAGAAAACTCAGATCTCAGCCATCTTCCTCCAAGTCCAGGAGGCCCACGTGGAGCAAACGGAAGTAAACAGAGGCCACTCAGATCTTGGGAGCAATGATCAGAGTCAGAAGGGTTCACAGTTACAATCACAGGGTATCTGCTCTGAAAATCCCTGAGAACTAGAGACTTCACTGAATCATCCTTCTAAAATAAGAAAGGTTAACAGGTCTTTTAACATATTAATATTTGGACTGGCCAGGCTGTTCCACTTGGCCACATGTCATGAGAAAAGGCAGTCCTGTATGGCACTGTGGAAGGCCCACAGTCTCTACAACTCAACAGAAGGGTCTCTGTGTCTCCAGTGATTTTCTATCTCTTGTCTCCTCAGATATAGAGAACACATGGACCATTCTCATTCTTGAGCTACATCTGTCAAAATCTAGGTCCTGGAGAGCTTGCTTATGTAGAATGTCTTACATTCTCCTTTGGCAAGCTTGTCCAGGGTGCACTGCAATTGGTCTTTTGGTATAGCCATTGGCTTTCATCTCTGTTAGACACTGGCATTTCCATTCTTTGATGCAGCGGGTCTCACAGCTCCACTACACAGCTCAAATTTCCACCTTACCTTACCACTCAAGGCCCTCTACAGTTTGGCTTCCACAAAGCTCTCCCTTGCAGGAATCTTCTTCCTGGACCTACAGAGTCCTACCTGACACATTTAGAATTCCCTCATATTTTTATTCTTGGCTTGGTCCCCCAATTTGCTCTGCATCAGGAGTTTGTTCCATCCTTGGATCCAAGATCATACCCCAATTCATTCACGAGGTTATTTCTTTGCTTTGTGGTGCTTGGGATGATATTCATGGCCTCATGCAGACTAAGCATGTGTTCTGCAACTGAGCTACTTCGCAGCCCTCATGAACTCATGATGGGTAAATACACAAACAGAGACATTCCCAGTGAGAGGCGTGTGTGCAGGTTCCCAGACAGGCGCCAGCTTTTGCGCTTTCCCCTGAATGTCTCCCATATCCATCTCCCTTGAAGCCCTCCTGTATAGTGCATTTCTCTGACTCTGGCATGTCCCAGAAAGAGCTGGGAGTGTGTCCCTCTTCTTCGTGCCTTCCAGTGGTCCAGTTACTCACTGTCCTTGGTGTGCTGCCTCCAGGACTCCTGCTTCCTGGCCCTGCAGCTGGGGGATGGAGACCACAAACATCTCATACTTGCCAAGGGAGACGAGTCTGAGGCTGCAGCCACATACTTAAGGGCAAATGATAAGTTCCTAGTCAACTGGGTAAGGGGTGGTGTAACCCACCTGTCACCACATGGAGGTGGTAACTTAAGGCTTTGAGGTTTTCCCCACTTATGCCTGTACTCTTGCAAGATTCCTGTTGTTACTGTTGTTGTTGTTTGTGGTGGTACCAGGAGTTGACGCCAAGGCATTCATTTTTTTTCCAAGGCATTCTTTCTGAACATCACCCCAGCTTAATTTTATTTTTATTTTGAGTCAGGGTTTCACTAAATCATTAAGCTGTTGCTGAGGATGGGCTCAAGCTTGTGATCCTCCTAACTCAGCCTCACTGGCATGTACTACCATGACTGGCAATTTAAACCATGTCCATGAAAAAAGGAGCAGAGACCTAGAGTGAACGCACCCTAGTCCAATGCGATTCCACTAACTACAGATGTTCATGTCATTCTATGCAGAACTGTGATGCTTTCAAATGCTTATATTTTATTTCAACTTATTGCATAAGTTTTTATTATTATTATTATTTATTTTTTGCCATAATTTTATTGATAAAAAAATAGCAATGAGACAGTTCCAAATCAAATCGGTAGGGCAGTTTCAATAATTAACACACTGCATACATCCTTTTTAATGGTTAATTGCTGTACAAGATGCAGACTTGA